AGCATTCCTTTTTCTTAATTCTTTTTAAGAAACTCAAATGGCTCATTTAAATAGTTTTCTTGCAAAAGTCAGGAACTTTCTTTAGTCTGCCATGAGAAAAAAAAAACAGCGTGCATATGAAGCATGGGGAATACGAGTTGCTGCTTTCATCTTGAGGCTGAAATTGGAAAATGTTGCTGATACACAAGCAAATCAAAGCAACTTAGCAACTTACATGCGATCCTCCAGTTACCTGCAAACAGAGCAAGTGTATTACAGATAGAGCGATGCAAGATTTAGCTATTGATTGTGATGAGGGAAATAAATTCTTGCAAAGTGTGCTGTGTTTCAACAATGCCTTGGGAAAAAATAATCGCTATCTCAAAGACCTCAGTGCTAGAGAGATATAAATAGCATAAACAGATGCAGCCTAAAGAACACTACATCACTCGATAGAAAAGATTACATCAGATTGCAAGAGCCTCGAATACAGGGTCTGTACCAGCTGTGACTCATGACTGAACCTTTATTACTTCAGTTCAAGAGCAGAAATGTGCATAATAATTAGCTTAAAGGGTTCTTGAAATTGAAAAAGACAAAAGGAGTCTTGAAAGACAAAAAAAAGCACTATTTAAAAGTAAACGTGTATTCCTATAACAATAAATCCATATTCAATATACTCTACAGTTCAAAAGTTCAAAATTAGCTTTATTCGCCAAGTGTGTGCAAACACTCAAGGAATTTGTTGTGGTTTTTAAGGAGCTCTTGGTACATACATCCATTCATTCATAAAGTTTGGGGTTGGTAAGATTTTTAAAGATATTTTTAGACTTTTATGCTCACCATAGCTGTGTTTATTTCATCAAAGATATAGTAAAAACAGTAATGTTGTTTTATAACTGTTTTCTATTTTCATACATTTTAACATTTATTCCCGTGATGCAAAGCTGAATTTTCAGCATCATTACTCCAGACTTCAGTGTCACATGATTCTTCAGAAAATAAAGTGATCAAACACTAAATTCTAAATTAAATAGAGATTAATCCTTGACGCTCTTTTTTCTTTTGTTCTTTGAAAACAGACATCACAGCAGCTGGGTTATTTGGTTGTTTTGGCTGCTTTAAGAGCTGCCACTGCTGAACATGACGCAGATCTGACACGCATCATAGTTTCTCACAACTCTTTACCTTTTCTTACTCACTTCAGGTCTTAAAGTCTCTACTAATGAGCTGATGAGTTGAATCGGGTGTGTTAGATGAGGGAAACAGTGCTGGGTTGATCCAGGATAGTTTTGAAAACCACTGTATTTCAGATATGTTCTTAAATGTGACTCATGTATAACAAATACTTACATGTAGGGCAAAAAATCAGTAAAGCCGCTCCTGTGATTATTAGTAAATCTCCAGCACGTGCGTTCAAATGGAGCAGCATTTACTACACAGAGCCGTAGTTCACTGACAAGCTACACACAATCGCGTTTAAAATCAAATACAGATGGATAAGTGCCAGAAGAGTTTAAAACATGGACCATCCTACAATAGGTACTGTTCAAAAAGTATATATATATATATATATAATTTTCAGGATTCGATTAATAGAAAGTTCAAAAGAACAGTATTCATTTGAAATAAATTTTTTTGTAAAATTATGCATTTACTTTATGCATCTTTACTGTCAATTTTGATAAATTTAATGCGTCCTTGCAGAACAAAAGTAACACATTAGCAAAAAAAAAAAAAAAAAACTCATCCCAAACC